CTAGTCTTAAATTAGTTTATAAATTAGAAAATTAAGAGGTGATTTGCTACACTTAGGTGGTTATACAAGATATAATAAATAGTTAAAATTTAATATCATCTTGATACAAATCTGTAACTAATTTTATCATGTATATAGCAAATTCATAATAAAAAAAAAAAAAAAAAAAAAAAAAAAAAATAATCTACACAAATTTATATATAATAAATTATATTTTTATATAGCTTAATAATAAATACTTTAATTTTATATAAACTATAGTAGATAAATTTATAATTTCAGTAAAAAGTAAAATATTATTAGTAAATAATTTTAATTTTATTAATATATAAATTAATTAGTTTAATACTAAACAATTTATAATTTTAGCAATAAAAAAAGTGATTTTAATAGTAGTAATAGTGGTAATTTATAATTTCAACAGGAAGTAAATTTATAAATTAATAATAAAATTCATAATTTAATACTTTTAATAAGATAGATTTATAATTTTATAGTAGTATATTTATATTTTTAGTAATAACACTTTTAATAGTAAATAAATTTATAATTTTTATAGTTAGTAGGTTTATAATTTTAATAATAAATATATTATAAATTTTATAGTTAGCTGATTTATAATTTCAATAGTAGCTGAATTAGTAATTTCAAAAGTATGTAATTTAGTAATTTCAATAATGTATGATTTAGTGATTTTAATATTGGATGAATTTACAATTCAAAAATAGGTAGATTCATAATTTTAATAGTAGACAGAATAATAATTACAATAATAGAACTTCTAATTTTAGTAGTAGATAAACTTGAATAACAAATAGATTTGTATTTTTAATAGTAGATATATTTGCAATTTTAATAGTAGCTAGATTAGTAGTTTATAATTTGGCAATAGATAGATTAATTATTATAAGAGATAATGCTAAATTTTGATTTTCAAATTAAAAATATAAACCCTACTAAAATCTACATTATTTTTAATTATCAATTATATTCTAAATTCTAATCTAGCTGTTATATTTGAACTTTACCTCTTTATAAAAGTTCAAAAAATATAGTAGTTATAGTATAAAAACTATATTTCTGTAATTTGGTTAGATAAAGACATCAATAAAAGACTTAAAAAAGAGGTTTAATTTAGGCTTTAACAAAAGAAGCAACAGCTATATATATATGAAGATACAAATAGTTGTAATAATTATAAGATATAATATTTATATAGGTTTTATTCAATAATTAAGTATTGATTATAAAGTTTTTTTACAACCATGTAATTAAGATTGTTATATTACTTAATAATATGAATTAATTTATTATGTATGAGGACATGATTATTTATTATAATAAATATATAAATGAATACAATAATAAGATATAATATTTATTATGAAAAAGAAAAGTTGAGATCTATTTTTACCAAGTAAAAGGTAAAGGTCTTTTTATATATGTTTTGTTGGTCTATAATATACAACCCTTTGGCCCTTTTAACATCTAATAGAAACTATAACTCTCACTAATCTAATAAGAAAATCTATGAAGAAATGAGATGGAAAAAATAGCATGACACGCACAAGCTTACCCATATGGGATCAATTAGATCAATGTTCAATCCTTGCACATCTTCACATTGTGATCAAAATCAGGTGTTTACAGCTGGGAATATTTATCTTGGTCAGGTGACAAAAATCTCATGTAATACCTGCCCTAAAAAAAATGAAGAAAAAGAAAAAATGAAAAAATGAAAAAAACCACTCAAAGTTCTTCAAAATTTTATATAAAAATAGACCCAGATTTCAGCTTCTGCCAATTTTAGCTTCTGTCACCTCAATTATTTTAATAGTAAGTTTATAATTTTAGTGAAGTAGGTTTATTGGTTTCAATAAATAAATTCGTAACTTGAGCAGTGAATGGATTCATCATTTCAGCAGTGTAGCTTATTGGCTTCAACAGTAGTGTATACAAACAGTAGATGAGTTAGTTTATGATTTTAATGGTGAATAAGTAGTGAATTTAATTGTGGATTGATGGGTTCATAATCTTAACAATGAATAAGTTCGTGATCCCAATAATGGATAGGTTCATTATTTTAATAAGTTCAACAATAAATAGGTTCATGATTTTAACATGAGATGTGTAATTTCAGCAGTAAGTAATTGCAATTTTAGCGATAGGTGGTCCATGACTCAAAGAGTGGGCTCATAATTTCAATAGCAAGTAGATTCGTAATTCTACAGAAGATGAGTTTACGATTTTAACAATAAAAAAGTAGCAGTAAGTACGTAATCTCAATAGTGATGGATTCATGATTTCAATAATGAGTAGATTTCACAATTTGGATGTACAGTAGGTAAATTCGTAACCCTAGCAGTGATTTGTAATTTTAATAGGTGTGCTTATGATTTTAGTAATAATTTAGCTTATTTGATGAATTTGACCTTTATTTAAATCCCCACCTATATCGCTCTCTTAATAGATTTGGGGGTTTAAATACAAGGTTCGAACATATGTCTGTGTTTTATATACTAGTGTACGAATAGAAATCGTCTTTTACATGCTATTTCTGCATTTATTATTAATATGACTATATAGAATTATTATTAATAGTCACCTCTTGTTATAATCACACAATTTCTGTTCCCAAGAAGATATTATATTGATGTTAGATTGCATTATCAACCTGAAAATTTAAGAAGATAGATTGACTAGATTCAAAAGCTATTCTATATTTATTATTCTACTCCCCAGACAACGAGAAATGCTCTTAACAAATTATGAGATAAATACATATTTACATGAAATCTAAGTCATTCATTTCAATCATTTCAATCAATTATTACTTCTCCACCAGCCAAGGAAACAAAAAATGATGTTCCAAAAATATAAAACAATGAACACAAACACCAAATAATGCTCCAATTATTATCAGTAACTTCTAATATCCAACCTGTTAATGCTACACCAAAAAGAGCCGGCAACACCGCAAAAGTATTTCCTAAGCCATATATTAAGCCCGCATATTTTGGTGCAATGTCAAACTATAATCGACAAGAGCTTAATTTTACATTAAATGAATAAATAAATAATTGATTGATTAAATAATTACCTGAGATACATTTACACTTGGGACTTTGAATGAATATATTGCAAATCCAATTGTTATTGTCAATAATCCTTCAAGAGAAGTTTTTGCCAAATATGTTACCTATAAATTATAAATATAAGTCAAAAATAATGTCGCAGCTGATGCTAAAATTGGCTGATGTTTGAATTTGGGTCTTGATTTGAAATATAATTATATAATCACTGGCTTTAAGTCCTAGCCCAGCCCTAAAAAAAAAAAAAACTAAAAAAGAAAAAAAAAAGAACACCGTGAAGAACTTTTTTAGAATTTCATATTAAAATAAGTCCAAATTAAAGCATCAATCAATTTCATAATCAGCAGTAACAATAAATAAAACAAATATTATTTGCGCTTACAACTAATAGAGACATTGATATTCCAAGGGTTCCGGTTAAATTAAAAAATTTTCGTACAGTTAAAACATAAAATTTTAATTTATTAATCGCATAATCACAGAGATAACCGGCTATAGATCCCATTATGATGTACGTAAAGTAAGGTAAAGCTAAAAATTTGAAATTTATAAAGTAAATATAGACGAATATTATTAATAATGTTGAGAGTATTAATAATATTTCTTACCAGTGTAATATCCAATTAAATTGATATTTACATGAAAATGTTCATAATAGTATATTGGTAACCAATTAAGCAGAATAAAAAAGCCCCAAGAATTACAAAATTGACCAAGGATAATTGCCCAAACTTCACGACGAGAAAATATTAATTTCCAAGGAATTTTCTTTATATTATTTGGCCTTGATAAAGTTTGATCTTTTGGTAATAACACATCGTTTTCACTTTGAATGCCAAGATCATCGTCAGTAATCGTAATCTCCCTAGATCCTGATTGATAATTATCCAAATTATCATCTAAATAAGCACTTGATTTGCTTTTCAAAATCCAATCTAATTCTTCTTTACTGATTCCTGAATAATCTCTAGGATCACTTCTCCCATAAAAATGCCATATAACGGACCAAATACAGCCAACAATTCCAAATACCCAAAAAATACTTTCCCATCCAAACCGACTCGAACCCAATATATTTGAAATTGGCATGGCGATTACCATACCGATAAAATTAGAAACACACGCTACTGAAACAGCTCTACTTCGTTCCTCAGGTGGAAACCATTTTGAGATTAAAGATTGAACACATGGAAAAGAAGCACCTTCTCCAATTCCTAAACAAATCCTACACAGTATAAGACAGTATATGTTTATTCTGGCAGAAATTGGAGTAAGTAAAGTGAAGAATGTCCAAGTTGCGGCAGCTAGAAATAAATAGTTCAGAAATAAACAAACATGAATATCTTTTTTTTTTTAAAAAATAGTATATCTTTTAAAATATTACTCACCTATGCCTAATACTCTCCTACCACCGAATTTATCAGTAAGCACACCTCCTAAAATTTGCGTCGTAATATATCCAAAGTAAAATGATGACGATACTAAACCTTGTGTAGAATGATTCCATTTGAATTCCTTAGCCATATAAACTATGGCAATTGCCATATTTGAACGATCTTTCATGAAAAAAAAAATTAACAAAATTTGAAAACTTTTTTAAAGATAAGAATTAACATTAAAATCTACCAGCATAACAGATGATAATAGCAAAACAACAGAGAGTGAAAATTATAATTCGCTTTGGGATATAATCAGGCCACCATTTACTAAAATTTTCAAATAAATTAGAAAATAAATAAACGTACTATACTTTGGAAATACTCCTTTGACATTATTTTAGTACAAAAAAACATTTAATTTGGCACAAAAGGACGTCCTATAAAATCGTGATAACTTAAAATCTAGCAACTAATTTAAATAATTTTAATACTATTTTATTTATCTTAATAAGATGAATAAAATGGTATTAAGTTTTAAATTGGTTGCTAGATTTTATCACTATTTAATCAAACTTATATTATTGAATATCCTTTTGTACTAAATTATGTTCTTTTGTACTAAATTGATGTCAAAATGGATAATAACTTACTTGGGTATTAATGCCATAATTAGGCTAGAACAAAGTGTCATTAATTCGCACAATAGTTTATATAATAAAAATTTTAATGCAATAATCTATTTTTCGTATTTTGATGCTTTTTTAAAGAAAAGGTTCTTTTTACGTTAACAGAACAATTAAGTATACGTTCAAATCAATATACGTACGTACGTCATATGGGCTAATTCGGGACATGCATGAAGTCTAGACTTAATGCCCTAAAAATGTTTAATGATGGAACAGGTTGTTTGACATTGTATTGCTATATTGTCTTACTAAATAGTATATAGCGATAGAACTAGGCGGTATCTGTTATGTCTGGTATGTACGTACGTACGTCCGTACGTAAATAAGCAAACAATACTAGATACAGTGGCGATCATAAGTAATGGAGCAAAAAAAAATTTTTGGTTAGATCACGTTATTTCGTGCAATTCTGGACGTATCCTTTTGTTTTTTTTTTTTAATTTGCTCATGAATAGT